ACCAATTCTCCAAGTCTGCAAAAGGGACAAAGCAGAGAATGCTGTTTCAAAACTCTTTCCTTTAATCTGTTCTCATGGATGTGGCTTTGTTTTAGCCATTCTTTTGCAGGGTTTTGTCTGGGCAGCATGGAACTTAGGTAGGAGTTTTGCCCTTCATTCCAGCCTGTAATGAAGACTCCTTCTGAGAACAGCAAGAAACACAAATTGGTGAAAGGTTTTATCTAAATGTGAACCCGGGTCCACACCTGTTACATAAAAGATAGGGAAAACCTTTTTTTTTATTAAGTGCCCCAGATTTTCCAGTCAGAAACTGTGATGCTAAGGTAAGTTCCACTGCCTTCAGATCAGAAAACAGGGTAAATGGGTAGTCAAATGTTTTCGTTTCATCAAGAGTGATTTGAAAGAGATACAGAGGATTCTTTAAAAAATCAAGAGAAAGTAAACACCAAGTCTACTTGCAATGTTTGGAGATAAAACACATAATTTTTTGAGGTCTCAAGGACCTGGTTTTACTTCTCTTTCATTCTGAAACATGTAGCTGATGTTTTGATAGACAAGGAGGCTGTGCTGGGATGATGTTTTATTGCTACTCTATTCACTGAAAGCAAGAGGTGTGAAAAATCAAAATAAATAGTAACTTTTATTTTTTAATGGGTCAGAGTTCCATATTTATCTTTGTGTTGGTTATAAGAAATATCTAAAAAAAAAAGACAACATAAGATTGACTAATAGAAAAATTTTAGGTGTTAGATTATCTTAGTATTTATTCAGAAGATGTTACTAAGTTTGCCTGTTATTTCAAATTTATTCATATAAAATTTCAGAAGAAATTTGTTACCAGTGTTTGACCAAAGGGGTTTTTTTGTACAGTGGAATTTCTTCCCATGCTTGTATTTCTGTAGCTAAATTTTGTCCTTTTTCTGTACTCCTGATGCCTCCCAATAGCTGTGGAATCAACATATTCCATTAGTACACACCTTGTGCCAGGGTCATGGATACAGACTTTAAGACTTATTTTGCACTGAAATATTCATGGGCAAGAAATCACCCTTCTACTAGATGGAAGCTTATTCCGTGTTTTGAAACCTATTTTCATATATATATGTATAATGTAAAGATATGTATGTAAATTAAAATATATATGCAGCAGTTACATTTTAGCAATTCTCTTTACATAAAATTATTATTACCATTGCTGTGAAATCATTAGTAAAATATTGTCAAATACTGGTACTGACAAGCAGAAAAAAATCTCCAAACTTCTAATCTCTGGCTTTTCTGTCTATGTTAATTTTAGTTTACTTTGAAATGCTTATCCATCAATATTCCCATGAATTAAATAATTCCAGAACTATGACTTCATGCTTATTGTTGACACAGGGCATGTTCACCTTTCGCAGGCAAAACAAAATATCTTTCATGGATTCATTGCTGCTTATAGCATTGAATAGAGCCCGTTCTTGATACTGAAGGAAAGCCTGGATAATCTTCTCTGTTCATGGCTAACTTGGGGTTTTTTTCAAAGTACTGAATGCAGTAAATGAATATTTCTTTACAGCCCTTTTAGTATACTTCATGTTTCTAAACCAAGGTAAGTTTGTCTCTGAAACTTCTCTGTCTGATGGGGATGGAATTAAAAATGAATGCTTATGTCATGGCTGTTTGAAAGATCTGAGAACCTGGTATGATGCAGCCTGATCTAAGGAACATTGCATTCAATGAGGAAGGGAGATAATGAAAAATGCAGGATTAATGATCACCTATTTCTACATTTCATCAGTTAAAGCTCCAGTGTGTACTTGGATACATATGCATTATTCAGAAAAACTCTTCCAAGTACTTCATTGACATATAGGAGATTTTGAAGACTGTGACAAATATGTTTCTTGAGTTTCTCCAAAAACTGGTTTACATTTGTTCCGTGTTTTCACAGGAAGTCAAAGGTGCTCATCTTTAAATCAGGGCAACCAAAATTGTACTTATTCTTAGATTTTTATTGTTTTAAAATATTTTCTCAAGTGGAAATCAATGTAGTAGCCTGTAAGTAAGACAACATGAGTCTGGTGTATTTTGTTTTGAAGGGAGAATTCCACAGGATCCCACCTGACCATGGAGAATAAAAGGCCCAATCAAACATCACAGCTCCATAATATTCAAAAGCTCCTGTGGATGGTAAGTAGTCTCTTCTAAAGGCAAATTGAGAAGAGATGACCCTGGTCTTTGCTGTGTGTACATTCATTGCACTTTTCTGAGGCCATCACTGCCTTCTGTTCTGGAAGAAATTCTAGAGTCTTATTTTCAAGATTTGTGTTGCACAGTGAAAAGTCTCAGAACATATTTGAGTGTCATTTAGCACCTTAACTGATCTACACAGAAAGGAAATTCTCAGCCATGGTGTGTAAAAACCTATATGTTGCATGTGACTATTGGCTGTTCCCTCCTTACCTGTTTTTGTAATGTACTATATTCTCTTCAAAAAAGTGCCCAACTAGTTAAATTCAAGAAAATGCTCAGTATTTTATTAAGGAAATAAAGTTCCCAGTCCTTAGATTGTCTGTTGTATGTTAACATTCTCTTAGAAGTAAAGTAAAACGCAGACAAATGGCAGGATCCAAATACTTTTTTTGGGGTTGATTTTCTGGAGAATACAGCACTAATAAGTAGGTAGAGAAAAGCTGCCAGGGTGTACTTTGTGCATCTGCCATCTGGTAGCTATATAACACAGTTGTGGTGGTCAAGCAGGTGGTGATTAACCATGATTCAAAATGATGTTTCACAGCAGGCATGCCCAGCAGGGAAGGAAACGTGGCTTTCACAATATTCTGCTGGAATTCACACACTGGGAAGAGTGAGGTGACACACAAGTGCTGTGGGCAAGAGGGACTGGGAGCACATGGGAGGTTCCCCTCCCTTGAAAATTGTCCGTGTCATTCAACCCTCTGCTGGTGCTGCAGGGTTGTTCAAATAGTTCTAGGAATAAGGATAAACTGCCTTATGTTAAATTTTCATTGGGATTTACACAGATGGTTCTAGAATGCTGAACATGTCATTCAACAAAATAATGAAGTAAGAGCTTTATTCTACAGTGTCAGAATCAGTCACTGGAAAGCAACAATTGTGCTTGATAGAGGTACAAATCTTCAAATTGTTCCATTTTGGAATCTTCAGGAGGCCAAGTATGATTAAGAAAAAAACAGGAAAAAAGTGTAGTCTAGAAAAATCAAAGATCTGTTAATATTGTGCCAATATATTTACTTGGAACAATGGGTAAAATAAAAGATGTAAAGATAAATGTAGAATAGAATACAATTCTGCAATCTAGAAAAGCAGGATTAATGATCCTGCTTTTTATGTTTTCTTTTGCACAATTCTGTTGTGAAAAATCCAATCTGATCATCCAATGTTGATCATCCAATGTGATTGAAAATGAACATAGCATTTAGGATGGAGAATATGGATATTATTAATTTTAATACTATTAACCAATTTTAAGTTAAAAAACACACAAGGTCAATGTCCTCTTAGAAAAGGGGAAGTGTACCATCCTTAGTACCATCCTGCCCTGCAGATTCATTTAACATTACATGGAATTTTGGTTGTTTGTGTTATAGAGCTATTAATACACACTGAAGCAGATAAAGAACAGTGGAATGATCAGAGAAAGGAAAGAATATCATGCAAAAGAGTAAACAAGCTTGGCTTGTTTGGTTTAGCAAAACACAGATGGAAGGAGGGATATGATTGTACTTGATAAATATGTCAAGGGAAATACCAGGCTGGGAGCTATTTAATCTGAGACTGTGTTTGCACACAGAAAATTTTTATAAAGCTGGCTATAAGCATATTTAGGATTGAAGTTGTAAACTGCTTTTGAAATATGAGATACACCACTTGTGAAGGACAAGAAGCAGACTAAAAACTGAAATACAGAAAATTCCATTTAAACAAAAGGAAAAAATATTGTCTGGGCAGGTGAACAGCATTGCACTCCAACCTCTAGTGGAGTATGAGTGGATAGTTGCATGTGTATTCACCAAAGGAATTCAAGTGTACTCAGAAACAGATCACATGCTCTGAGTATTTTTCAAGTGGTTGCCTTGGTTCAAGATAAGGCAGAACATTTCAAAATACACAATTCCCATCTATGTCAAACAGACACCTGATACTAAAACCAGTTGTCTTATATTTAAAGACTGTCCAGAACAGGTAATATTGTGTTTTGCTTTTTCATGGAATTTGATTCTAAAAGTCCTCTTTGTTTTTTTGTTTTTAATTGAGTAACATAAAATAAAGGAAAATATTTTCTGAAATACTTTAAGTTTTCGGGTTTATTCTTATAAAAGTCCTCTTTGTTTGTTTGTTTTTGAGTAACATAAAGGAAAATATTTTCTGAAATACTTTAAGTTTTTGGGTTTATTTTTTGGCTATTGCTTTTTACAACTGCAGATTGCTTACCTTCATTTTGTGGAAAGGATCTGAGCAAGGAATCTTCTAATCTTGCTCTGTTATTACCTTTGCAGAGTTAGCACTGTAGACAGCAAAACAAAGAAAACTAAATCCCTAGGATGCTCTTTCTGAAAAAGATCAAGACTTATCTTACAAAAACTGAGGCTCTAATGAAATGAAACTAAAATGCACTAATTTTGTTAATCTATCTAAATTTTACAAAATTTTCCTTCTAGTATATTAGGAAGAAAATGGTGCTGTTCATTCATTTATGCACATGAACAGATGAAGTGTATGTGTGTCTGTATGTATATATATATAGATATATATATACATATTAAAAAGCAAATTTTATATATAAGAAATAATTCTTAAATATGAAAATATCTCATTTTTTTCATTACAAGAATATTTTGTGGTCAGTTATCCAAAAGAATAATAAACCCATCCTTGTGACTTAAGAGTCACAGAGCACCACATCACACAGCACACTGACCCTGTGTTTCAGAGAATTTTATCAATGCTCCAGACTCTTGTGTGGTCAGGCAGATCAAGTGGATTGTACATTCACAGTTTTGCCCAGGGCAGAAAACAATCCTGGTGCAAAAAGGAAGAAATGCATGTGAGAAAGCTGGGAAAGATGCAATACACGGGTATTTCTTTTCATTTTTTCCTTCTGCTATTGATATCTTCCATTTGAGGACTACAACCCTGTGAATGTTTGCCACAAATCCTACTGATCATGTTTTCCTCCCCTGCAGTAGATACCCATAACTTAATTTCTTCTGCTCTGGCTACTGCTAGGTATAATTTTTTCTGATAAAACATAGTTTATCATATTTCTAGTTATCTAAACTGGGCTGTGCAGTGTGGTGTGAACCACTGATCTACTCCCACCTTCTTTTCCCTGTACAGCAGTAATTTTTCAGTTCATTCAGCTTGTTTTATGGACATAGTCATAGCTTCACTATTTGCTTCTCTGTAAGCTTGGTACAAGGTAGATGATGTGAAGGCAGAGTTAGATTTTCTTCCAAAGGACCAAGACCTAAAACAAAATCTTTATTTTAATGGATAACTTGATGACTTCAGTATAACGGTTTGGGAGAAAAGTTCTGCAGAATCAGATCTAGGGGGGTTTTTTTTGTGGTGGTGGGGGTGTTTTTGTTGTTTGGGGTTTTTTGGGTTTTTTTTTAGTTGTTCTGGAAATACATCACTTGTGAGGATCTTACCACACTGTTAATTTACAAAGTATTTTATCTTTTATATTATGCTTTTTGCCATGCTCACTGAATTAAGAAACCCGTTGTAGCAGCTCTGCATTCTAATTTATGATTTAGATAGGCTCTATTTATTGCTCAGTTTACTTCATTCTAGGTCAACAGCTTTAATTAGAGTATTTTTAGCAGATCATGAAATACAAGTGCACGCAGACATGGAAATATATTAACCAGTCCAATCCCAGCACTTTGTGCTACAAGTCTTTGTTCCTGTATAAGCAGAAACAGTTACTTTTTTTGTAGACTTCACTAAGCATTTGCCATCTTTTCTTGCATTCACCGTTTCTCCCTGTCATAGTTTTGCTTTTATTCTACTTTTATTTCCCCTGTAAAGGCATACTTCTTACTAGTAAAACATAATGGAAAGTAGTCTTCAATCATGTTTCTACTAAAAAATTTGTAACTCTAATAGAAAGCTATACTGAACAAAAGGCCTTTTCTAAAATATTATATTTCTTCAATGTTTCCTGTGGACTAGGACTGAATTAAGGTGTTTATATTTCTAAGTCAAACATTTGGGTGGGATGTGGGAATTACAATTTTGGCATGAAAAAGTAGAACAGTTGCATCTGATTTACTAACATGTGATGGAGATTTTTTTGTTACTTGACTTTACCGCTAGAGACATGTTTAGAAGGTCATATGCATAGGCTGAGGGAAAAAAAAAAATAATTCAATTTGGTAAGAGGGATTGTGGTCCTTGAATAAACCCTGGGCTGGAGAGTGGCATTTTTTTATACTAATGCATCCATGATTATTTTTCAAGTGGAGGCCATTGTCTGCTAGTCCAAGGCTCTGATAAATCTTCAATTCCTGTGCTGATAGTGTGTCAAGCAGGGCTATCTTAAAATTCAGGCTGTTAGAGCACTGTAAGGAGTCAGGAGTTACCATCCACAGCCCAGGTTTTTCTGGTATTCAGGTCTTTTTGCACCCATGCTCTGCCATCCATCGATCCCATCAAGTCATGTGGCAAAGCAGGATTGCAGTTCCCATACTGATGATCTGGGAGATGCTGCACAGGTATGGAATCAGTTTGACAGGGGCTTAGGAGAAGGTTAAGTGGAGGACAAATTACCACTGGTCTCCAGAAGCAGTTAACATTGATCTTTATAGCACCTTTATAGCATCTTTATAGCAAAATAATATACATTCTGGCACTGCACTTTATAGATTCTGCATGACAAGTGATAAAAGTTATGAATTACTTCTATCAGGCTTCATTTTTCCCTGCTTTTTAGTTAATATTACAAAGCCTGATGTAATTACCCATTTGGCAGCTCTCCTTGTCAGTCATCTGCTGATTCATAAGCCAGTCAAACAATATATTACACTCCAGATCATCTGTGAGGACTTTGCTGGCACAGGGCTGGCATTGGATTTGGTTTTCAAGGATATTTCAGCAGAATCAGAGCTATCCACAGGGTTCCTGTGCCAGTCCTGTCTCCTTGCTGTACACAGAGCTGTAGGATTTTAGCCTGCACCTCTTCTGTTGCCCAAAATGACTTGCATGCCTTTCCTTTCCAGGGAACAGAGAGCTGTTCTGCTTTAGGTATAAGTTTGTCGTGTCAGGAAATATGGCAGGTGCTGACTTTGTGGCTGTTTTGGGGATACCTAAAAGCAATGTGGAAACCTGCTGGTTCAGCTTGAAGACCTTTAGTTGCCTTTGTTTCCCATGGCTTGATAGCCATTACATATTTTGGGGTCCTGCCTCCCTGCAAATACATCAGAAATGTATAAATTACAAGCACATCAGGGCCAGGGAGAATTTTCTTCACACGTTTTACTAAAAAGCTAAAAAAATTTGCTGAGCACCAATTATCGGCACACTGAAGTTCTCTCCTCAACATCTTTGTCTCCTTGGTGCACTTTCCTGCTGCAGCTCTTCTCCTTGTGTAGCTGTATGAGTTTCTGCCACTGCTCTGCCTTGCTGTGTGTATTTTGTCCTTCCAGGTTAAATCAAACTATGTCCAGATAAACAAGGGACTTTGCTGAGGCCTAGAGCTAGGCTAAAAAGGGCAATTGTTTTCACAGATTGTTATGAGGATTGTTCCCTTTTACCTTTTAACAGATCTAACTTCAAGGTGTGTGGAAAATATTAACTAATTTTTGCATTTGTAGGAGTATAGCTTTACAAATGATGTTGTAAATGATAATGCATTTGCTGACCATTTTAATAGTTGGGTAGGAACTGAGAGGTGTTAAACAGTTCTTCATCTTGGATTAATTTTTAAATATATGATCTTTTTTTGCAAAATTATTTTTCAGGATTTTTCACGGTTATTAGTTTGTCAATAGAATAATAAAAATCTCATATATAAGTACACACAGAGGTGCAGGAATAAAAACTAGAATGACTTTGGGGAAGGAAAGGGGAAGGAAAAATGCTTATCCAGAAGTTACACACAACTTATTCTGAAATCAGGAAAATTCCAAGTATAATTTTCCATATTTTATTAATTATTAGCTCATTTTTTCTTAGAAATCATGGAAACTGAAGAAAGAAATACCAGAATCTCACAGAGAAAGGTGCTTTTCAATTAATCCTAGACAGAATGCAGACAGAAAATGTTGAAAATCTTGGTAGGATATAATTTATTTATTTTTCTCTTTCTTTTATAATCAAAGGTCTGAAAACAAAATGTCTAACTTTCAAGTTATTATTTTTTTTATTATTAGCAGTAGTAGTAGTAGTACTACTACTACTACTACTACTACTACTACTACTACTACTACTACTGCTAGTATTAGTTTTACAAGCCAAAGAACATCTGAAACCTGAAGGTCATACCTTTGTAAAAAAAGGACAGCCCTCAGGCCCATCATGCAAACCAAGTGACAGAGGTAATTTGAGCATAAATATTAAAACAGTAAGTATTACCTCTGAACTGTAGTAGGTGTTAATTCTACACTGTATCTGAAAACAAAACATCTCCTGAAAACCAAGGCCATTTCTTAAGAGGATGCTGAAGCTTCCTATACAAGACTGTTCATCTCTTTATGACACTGTTTAGCAGTAGTGGATGTGACAACATTAATTTAGATCAAGGTTACCAAGGTTAGCACTCCATTGATATGAATGAAGAAATTCAGGTTCATGTTGAGTCCTCCAGATAAGGCAGGACTAATAGGCTGTAAATACAAAGGTTGCACAGTGATGAAGGGCTGGATGGACTGACTTAAAATCTCAGCAGTTGTGCTCTTCTGCCACATGCCTGTCAGCAAATATTTTACAGGACATCTGGGCTGGATCACACTGTCTTTTTTTTTTATTCTGGAGGAGTAACTGACAGGGGATTAAGATTTTCATCCCACTGGAAAATTCTCCATTACTGCAGCAGGTCATAATTAAGTCAAAATGGCATTCCTATTCTCTCTGCAGGAAGAAACTGACACCCTGACTCCTGTGCTCATTTCTTGCTCAAGTGAACAATGTCTATGAGCTGCTCCAAACCAGCTCCTTATGGCTATGGGCATTGATGAATTCTGGTCTCTGTGGTGCTAGAGTTCTTTGTTTCCTGTGGCCTGAAATTTCAATAAATTCAGTTTACAAATAATGGCAAGGATTTGGTGTTGTCAAGCTGAGCAAAATAGCGGCAGTAGCAATTGAACATGTGCTTATATTCCAGAGTTATAACTGAGACAGTGAATCAAACTCATATATGTGAGCAAGAACAGAGGAGTCAGTATGGTCCTCTCTCTGAATGTGAAATAAATGAGAAATATGTGTCAAAGGTTTCCTCTTATTCATGTCAAAGGAAAGGGGAAGTATAAGAATCACCGAAGTTCCAAAGACAGAGTTCCTTTCAATACAGCACTGTATTGAAAGGAGCACTGTAATCTATATTTTTTTTTCCCAGATAAAGTTTAAGAAATGTGTCTCATAGCAGATGATCATGACCCAAACATTAGAAATCCATATTAGAAATTAATTGCACACATCTAGCAAAGAGGCTTACTAACATCTGGAGCACCTTAGCTCATGAGTACTTCTTAGATTACTAGCTACTTCCAATATTGAAACTAATTTAAATCCACTTTTGATTGAAATCCTTGAATTTTTCATGCATCTCTGCATGTGAAAATCATTGGTTTATTGTTGATGCATAAAAAAGATATCCTTTCCATCAAACCAGATTCTGCAAAATTTATGAGAAAAAATAGCGTTTCATATGTGCACCTCTTCTGCCTTTAAAAATAATAAATCTGATTCCAAACAGGTTAATGCTAAATTGCTTGCCTAATCCCAGTACGTAACATCTTAGAAGGAGTGAAATTTAAAATGCAGAAAGTAGTTTTGCTACATGGGAAAATGGAATCTGCTTTTAAACTGATGAGTTTGGTCCAATGTGGTTAGGAAAGGGACTCCCTTACTATAG